GGAGGTGCCTGTAATAACTTGAAGTCTAGAAATAAATTCAAGGGTATTAATAAATCTCTCTTTATCCGGACTATATCAGTAAAAAAATTAATAAATATAGTGAATAAATATATTGAAAAAATGAAACAAAATAGATTAATTCATACATGGCTTGAAGTGAATTAAATTTACAAATTGAAAATGGATTATATTTCTCTTGCAAACAGGACTTGGCCAAGATCTTTGGTGCGGTATCAACCTCTGTAGATGGGACGAATGTTTTGGATGCCATCTCAGAAAAAAGGGAGGAGATGAAATCTCTCATCTCTCAACTCAGATCCTCGCTACTTGTTGAGAAAGATCAGAACAGCAAAGCTCATGAAACCTTACAGGTACAAAATCTTCTAAACAAATCAATGATATTAATTTTTGATAATATTTAATTATGAAATTTAACAAAATGCAAATGATGTTTATAAAACAGTTTTTTAAAGATATACTCTTCTTTAAATATGCAATTATACACCATATCAGGTGGAAAAAACTATTTATTCATGATTTATTAATTCGTTTACTTATTTATGTTGGGCTCTTTTGGGTGTGTTTTAAATAGGGCGTGGCAGATTTCATGGGTGTAGAAACGTCTGGTTGTGAATCCACGATTGTTGGCGGTATGATGGACAGATGGACGGAGAACAGAAGAGAGGTCATTGAACTTCAAAGAGCCTTGAAAGATGAGAGGGAAAAGACCAAGCAGGCTCAAGAAGCTCTCATGGTAATTTTAATGTCAAAAATCTAAATACACAACAAAAATATGGCAACAAATAACAAAAGAAAAAAAGAGAGAAACAAGAGCGACCTAGATAAATATAACCTATAATTTACAGTTATTTACTACTAATAAATGATAATGAATGGCATCCAGTATACTACAATCATGACGACAGTAACTATTAATCCAATATGAAATAAGTGAAGTCAGAATCTCTCCTCCCTAACTTGCTCTCTTTAGCCCCCCTCTCTCTCTCTCTCTCTCTGTTTATCCATCCCACTGTCTGCCTCTCTCTGTGTCTGTTTGTCTATATGTCTGTATGTCTCTATTTTCACTCTCTCCCTCTCCCCGTCTCTCTCTTTCCTTCTTTCTCACTGTCTCCCTGTCTCTGCACCCTTCTGATTTTACACTTACTCAGTCTCGTTGTTTTTCCGCGCCACCTTTCTTTTTACAGGATCATCTCTCCCGTCCCGATCCAGTGCTTGCCTCAACAGTCACTCAGACCGATGACCACCAGGCCCAATCGGAAGGCCAACTTTGTCACAAGTCAGTCCAAACAGATCGGTAGGCGAATTATTTTGATCATCGAATATACAAAGTCGTAGATTTATAATTTAAAAATGATTTTATTTTCACTGGTCTCTTAGTTATAACAAAAATGATGACCCCATCATGCCCAAAAGATAAAAATGCTTAAAAACAAAACTTAGCAGGCTGTCCGTGTTTGCATGTGGTAACTCTGCCTATTTAGATCAATCTTTTAATTCAGTAGAGTATTCTTGATTGTAATGAAGGTCGTGATTATTGTTATATTTTCTAAATTTCCTTTTCAAACAGAGACCCCTTGATCTTTGGTGAGGCCGAGCAGGAGCTACAGCAGATCAAAGAACACCTTTCTCTGAGCATCTCCTACCGAAGCCATAGCTTCACTTTATCTGCATCTCGCGATCTCATCCATCTTGGTCCTCGCTGCAGAAGCCTGAAGACACTCAGGGCAGGGGATGCCTTCAGACCACCAAGTAGGACATCTCTGCTCCGAGGTGTTTCTGCAATCGCCAATACGATCAGCTGTTTGGAGCCACCATGTAACAGCAACATGATGGTCTCCAATATGTCCGACCTCATCCCTTGGGCGGAGTCGAGGTGCAGCATCGAACTTGGAAGAGGTGTCGCAGGAACTGTCTACCTCTTCCGTCACGCAGTCTCGAAGATCCCCGTCGCTGCCAAGCTCGTGGAATACCCAGGAGAGTGCTTCAGAAACGAGGTCAGGATTCATCAAGCAATCAGTGGCCTTCCATGGTTTCCTACCTTCTATGGAAGCTTTGACATCGACGGTGACCAGTCAGTTTTGGCCATGGAGTTCGTTGGGAGTGAGTCTGAGGATCGTAGCTACACCATCACTGACTGTCTCGAGAAGTCCATGTTGAAGACAGGACCGGATCTTACCAGAGATGAGTGGTTTTATGTCCTCAATGGTGTTGCAGAAGGACTGAAAGCGCTCCATTCCAAGGGATTCCTGTGTAATGATCTCAAAGAAGACAACGTACTGGTTGTCGAGGAGTCTGGACTCTGGCGAGCCAAGATCATCGATCTGGGATGGGCTTCTGAAATCGCCACTCCTTTTGTAATGCCTCTGGATGAAGAGCAAATTGATTTTTACCGTAGCGGCCGAGGGTGTAGCCATATTGCCCCTGAATGCGTGTTGGAAGCCAGGCCCTGCTCAACATCCAGCGATGTCTACTCCTTAGGTAGATTGCTAGCGATGGTAGGTCGCGCCATGAGGTATGATGATTTCGAGTGTTTTGGTACGCAAATCTACCTGGCTGACGAAGACCAGAGGCCAACCGTGCAAGAAATCATCGACCAGCTTTACGAAATGCAGCTGGTACAAGGAGGGGAGGATGACCCCGAGTCATCCTCTTGTTAGTTTATTCATCGGAAGGGGAATGGGGGAAGGGCAAAACCATATATAGCAGATACTGTAGCATATTGAACTTGAATGTAGAACTGGAAGTACGGCAAAGGGGGTAGGGTTAATGAAAGGGGAAGGACTAGTGCATATGACCTAGGGAACTGAATTCATTACTGGTATATAGTGGATCTGGATACAGGAAAAGAAGGATGATGGAGTAGAGATAGCATTCAATACGAAGAACGATTAAGATGGAAAGTTTGATAACATCAATGAAGACTGAGAAGCAGAGAAGCTGTTGGAGGGGAAGGAGGAGCAGGAGCAGCAGGTGAGAGTGGAACAGGCCCAATGATAACCAGAGGCCAAGAAATCGGGGGAAATATAAACGGAGAAAGACACAAGTTGTTGTATTCCTAGAGACAGCACAGGAGACGAGGAAATGTAGGAGAAAGAGGAGCAGGCCTAAGAACAGCTGCAGGCCGAGGATTGGCAGATTTAAAGTAGAAGTAGAAAGTTCGGGGCAAAACGATGAATCTGTACATAGTATTTTTAACTTATATATACTACTGCTGATTTGCCATGAACTATCTGCTTAAGAAAGTAATTATTTTGTTATTTATTGTACAATTGTATAAAGTTTTGTATGACTAAGCTATCTGGGTATTCAGAGTAATTCGATTTTGTAGAGCGCATTTCATGACCAAAGGAACCTCCAATTCCAGGATAATGGTAACATTTCAACCCAAAAAGTCGAATTTAAACTACAAATTGAATCGACAAATATATGAATATTAGATGATATCAAGTCAAGGTGGAACAAGTGTCATCACACGAGAACAAAAATGCTGCAACATCTTAGGCGCAATGCCATATTAGCAATAGTTGAATTATATCGAACCCACTCTTATAACTTATACAAACAAGTCCAGAAAGCATCCAAAAGGACCTCGGATAACAACTAAAAACATAAAGAATTTATTAGGCTATAAATATTGTACAAATTATAATTGAATACAAAAATATACATATGTAAACAACGCTTACTTCTGTTTGTTTTTATTCTCACGTTTCAAATAAGAAATCGAGACATGGTGACATAGCAAGAGAGAGAGAAAGAGAGAGAGTGAGAGGGGGTGGAGTCCGCAAAAAAAATGAATGTGACATATAAATATTTTCTTCTTTGTCCTTTTAGAGCTGACATGAAAAAGATTATCCTACAGCCCACCCCCTTTCGTATAACCACTGTAAATCGGACAGTTACCACCGAGATATATTATCAATATTACTTTTCCTTCCCCCACATATAGTACCTTGAGAATGGATTGGGAAGAGGGAGAGGCAATGGTGGGGTTGTGAGTGTAATGTAAATGGGATGTATGATAGTGTTGTGCGTTTCGAATATAATGTGTGTCTTCATTTGGAATGGAAAAGACGGGGTGTCTTTAGATTTGTGTGCGTGTTTTTGATTTGTTTTGTTTCGTTGTTTTTTCCCCTTCTAATTCTCTATCTTCATGGGTAGTACTATGCTTTATTTAAAAAGTATTATTATTTTATGTACAAAGCATTGTTTGATTTAAAAGAAATTGTTAAAAAAAACATCCGATTGATTACATTGCCTCCGAATCAGGACACCTACCCCCTGGACATCCACCCCCGGATAATCATCCCCAGTCAACTACCCCCTATGACGACTACCCCCAGGACGAATACTCCCGGACAACTACCCCAGACAACTACCCCCTAGGACAACTTCTCCCGAGGACAACTACCCCCGGACAACTATCCTAGAGGGTAGTTGTATGGGGGTAATTGTCCTAGAGGGTAGCTCTCTGGGGAATAGTTGTCTGGGGTAGTTATCCGGGGGAATTGTCCAGGGGTAATCGTCATAGAGGGTGGTTGCCCTTGGGGGTAGTTGTCCTAGGAGGTAGTTTACTGGAGGTGGTTATTAGGGGGTGGATGTCCAGGGGTAGGTGTCCTAGAACCCATTGCCTTCATCAAAAGATCCCTTCAATCACACTTCTTCCCTCTTTAATATATCGTAATGTACCAATTTGAAAAGTCTGCGTCTTTTATGTTATCTTCAAAATTATATGGTTTTATGTTTTATTGGCATGACCGGAGGATCTGCAGTTTGATCCCTCATTCTGCCAATTGCGTAACAATGCATAAGGATCACGTGATTTTTCAATAATGATGGAGCCCCAGTTTTAGAACACAATTGTTTGGCTTGTTTCTTCGATTAAGCGGAGTGTAAAAGTAAATATTTTATCAGAGTGTGCAAAACATCATTCATAAACTTACGAGACTGGACATAAATGCAATATTGAGACAGAAGGCTATCATTAATCATTTTATTACACTTTGTACAATATATATTCATTTTTAATGATTCTTCTTCTTTTTCATCGTATATTTTATACACTGAATAGGAAAAATACATACCACAAAACTTCGTTAATTACAAACGTAATCTATATTGTAGATGCAAAAAGAAAATCTCGACAAAATACATTTTTAAATAGTATCATTATAGAAAATGTATTATTTTGCAGTTGTACTCCAAACCTAACCATATTACAATCTCAGGAGGAATTTCGCTCACAAACGAGCCTCATTGTCTAAAATATGGTTACTGCAAGTGACAAAAGTAAAGAGGAAATTGAGCAACCTAAATCTGTTTTTATATCAGACAGATTCAGAGGTTGAACAAAAATAAAAATTAGGAGGGTAATTATGACTGTATTCGACCAACTTTCAGCAGTATTTTGGTCAAATCACGTCATCATTTGTTTTTGTTGTTCATGTCAATACACATATGTTATGTGGTTATGAATAAATTCTTCGAAAAATGTTAGCTTTGAAATAAACTATGCAAAAAGGAAAAGAAATAAAAACACATGAAGTGGATAAGACATTACAGAAACCTGTACACAAGATACCGAAGCCTTAGGGAAGGTAAAAGATTACTTGATATTACTCAACTATAAAAGAAAAGAAAATACATATTCGCAACTGTTTTGGACTGTGACACCTTGTGGTATCAATAGAGGACAAAAAAGCCAACACTGTAACGTTTGATCAATATTTAGAATATTTCGAAGAAATTACTTCTTTGAAAACAATGTCTAAATCATTCGTAGTAGGTCCATGTTTAAATCCAGCGTCACGCCTAAAAGGCTAATGTGTGAACAACATGCAATTCCACTGTTGTGTTAAAAACTTATTTGTTTTTAAAATCTACACTGATTTGGTAGTGGCTATTAGATGACTCACTATTATAACAACCAGGTTAAACGACGGTTGGATATTGACGTCGTATCAATTTACCCAAAGGCTACATCTAGTGCAAAAAACGACACTGCAGAAAAAATGCATTTATCAGAGGCATTAGAAAAGTTCGAAATCCAAACATCTTTTGGAGGAGATCCAACGTCGAAAGACTTCGTATCAATGTACACCTGGTAGGTCGGTCTTGATATTTCGTCATGCCTTTCAATCATGTTTACACCGTTAAATGACATCACTGCCCCATTACAGTTCCTGGAAAGTTCCTATTATAATTTCTGAAAACAGTCTTAAAGACAATATATATAATCATGTAGAAATAAGACTAAATAAACCGTATCTCTCATCAAGGTATAGCCATCATATTCTGTGTGTGTGGTGCATATCCACTTATACGTTGCAACATAGCAGGACTTCGCGGATTGGTTGGTCTTCCGCCAGGGTAGTAAGGCCTAGCTCCAGGTCGAACGCCGGGGTTAACCGGACCAGCATTTGGGTTAATCGGACCAGGACCTGGGTTCAGTGGGCCAGTGCCTGGATTCATTGGACCAACACCTGGGTTGATTGGAGCAGCTCCTGGATTGCCTGGGTTGACTGGGCTCAGAGGACCAGTTCCAGGCATGAAGGGATTATTTGGCGTATTTGGGCCAACTCCTGGATTATTTGGTCCTGGGCCGAATCCTGGCTGCATAGGTGGGATCGTAGGAGTTGGAAATGGTTCTCCATTCGCAGTCAGCGCTGGTGCTTGACATATAAAAGCAAAGGAAGCAGACAATGGCTCGTCTTGCCATGTATCTGACCAATGATGAGTACCACCCCATGCTACAGCGCCAATAGCTTCGTTAGTGGTTGCTGGTTTACCTGCTTCCCAATCTGTGTATTGTGACGTCGAACCAGTAGACCATCGCCAGCCCAACGCATTCTCTGCCTTGTAGAACCCGGTCCAAAACTTCTGACGTCTTCCCTGACCAAACACGGTCGTCAGGTAGCTGAGCATGATTCGGTTTTTACTTGGTGAGTCCAGAGCGTAGAGGGAGCCACCATACCTGTTGCAAAAGAATGTGGCTTCATTGAAGGTCATCCGGATGCGATGTGAGATTCTGAGGGGAAACAGAAAGAAAAGATTTTATTAGCATGAATTCAGAGTACTTTTGTAAATTGACTTTCAATTCCCAGAACATGTCTTATCTTGACAAAATATAAACCCAAAGAGCTTATCACATGAATATATAACCAATACAAATCTTAACAGTGGTGTTCGAGTGAAATACATAAAATAACATGTTTATCACCCAGACAAAACAAGAGAAGTATTATGTAAAACTACTTGTATAATAATAATAATAATAATAATGTGACTTATATCGCGCCAAATCCACTCTGTGGAGTGCTCAAGGCGCGTGTAAACAGGAAAAACGATCAAGACTTGAAAAGGAATGTCTTGAGATGAGTTTTGAAAGAATCAGAAGATAAACATTTTTGATGTCTTCAGGAAGGCCATTCCATATTTTAGGACTAGAGTATGCAAATGATCTTTCCCCCCACGTTTTGGTAATTTTGGGGGTCACAAGAAAATTGGAAGCGGATGAGCGAAGAGGTCTTGCAGGAGTGTAGTTTTGGATTAGAGAGATAAGGTATTGAGGAGCAGAGCCGTGAACGCAATGAAAGGTAAGCAACAAAATTTTGAAAACAATGCGATCTTTTACTGGGAGCCAGTAAACTTTAATCACAACCTACACTCAGAAAACAAAAAACTTTCACAAGACGCACATTTCTCTCTCACACCTAACGATTTCTGACTTACACTTACAATTCAACCACTTTGTTTCTTCTTAAACTGCCTCACACAAAAACAGAAGTAACTATTGTAATGTAATAAGTTCTTTGCAAAAAGATGACCATTGGATCATTTTTGGAAAATGAATTAAATCAAGTTCCAAACCTACTGCGCCAAATAAGAATTTACTTTCGTACTACCACATTAATGTTGTAGCAGGCTATAAATCATAAAATGTCTGAATTCGTGAAATCGTTGGCATGGTTGCTTGCTTAATCATCATAGTTTAAAAATAAACTAACTCAATAAATTCGAACAATCTATCTTTACATAATAATGTGCAGTTCACTATTGGTGCTTGCCAAAATGAGCTTCCCGCCAAACAGAGATTCATATCGCTTCATCCATTCAAATAGTTGCTTGCCAGAGACGAAGCCATACTGATTTTTATTTATAGCGACTTGTATGCCGACTTTTAATTTGGATGATTGCCTCTCATTTGAAAGCTAGCCAAAGCCCCGTTTCACTCGTAACAATTGAAATGACATAATCCATTAATTCACCATTTCAATGAAATCATTGTTTTGTAATTTAGCTTGAACACTTTAAGTTGTTTCTTCATAAAGCTTATCATGAAGGAAGAATGTCGACAAACTTTATTACAACTTTCCTTTCCTTTCCGCCCACCACGCCAGCGGCATTCATTTCTCTAAGCCCCGTAATCATTCTTGTTGTATAACATAAGCAACATTTCCTGGAAGTTGTGTCACTCTCCCAAGCAAGGTCTTGGTTTCCTTGATATCTTGAAGCAACATACGCAGACAGACCATGGATCAAATGTTTGATATCATCAAAATATTACAGATGGCCAGGTTAAGTCATGTTAAAGGCATCCTTTAATAATATTAAATCTATGATGCATGACCCTACGTGTTATCATTGCTGTGATATGGTGTAATATTGAAGCCCTACCAAAATTGCGCTTCAAAATGATCATAAAAAGTTTTAAAAAACTGAGTGACCGGTTTTACAATACTCATTTTCCCTAATAGACTGTAGTGTTAAAAAAAAAACGTTAGGAAAACAAAAAATAAAGTTTCGATTTCCAATCATAAATAGCTTGATAATCAGACAGGCGATCGGCTTGTAAAGGTCATGGGATTTCTGACTGACCTAAAGGTCTGACCTTAAGGTTTACAATTATGATTGCAGCATGAGCTAAATCCAGGATTCTGTTGCAGAATCTGAGGCAATTTTACCGAGTCACTTTAAAGAGAAACAGACCTTACTACAATTTGCATTTGGCTGCCAAGAGGAATCCCAAAGAATTAAAGTTTTTGATCTTCTTCTTTTTCTTTTTTGAAACAAGGTCATTTTCTACTCGCTGACTCAAAATATAATTCAATATTTTATATTGTACCCTCTCATGCATTTCTCCTTTTTAATGCGCAAATCTCCTTCCTCATCTTCTTCCTAACCCCACATGCAGCTCATCCTATTGTATTATTTTCTGTACCCCCAATCTCTCACTTCTTTTTTGGCATTGTCTAAGTTTTGTATCGTGACCGTGTTATAGGACTCTCTTGTCCCGCTTTCGTCTCTGTTGGCATCTCCTTTTTTTCTTTTTCTAGTTCCTTTTTTGTAGTTACGAATTCGTTAATTTAATTACTCATTATTCCTAATCATTATTCGAGGGGTCCACAATAGTACAAGCATTGCTGTTTAGTGGACTCCTCTGTTTCCAATATGTGTCCCTTAATTTTTGTAAATGATTATAATTGATATGTAATGTTTTTGTTTGAAACAGAAATAAAATTGGTAATAGAAATTGAAGCAATCACAATAAATATTTTCCATTATGCCGTGCTTGCCAATTGCTACCAAAATGTTACCAGTGACGTAATTTTTTAAGTATATAAAGAGAACATAGCCAAACTTGTGCAAAATAATTACTTTTATTTAAATATTTTCGCGGTCCTTCTCATAACCTACTTAATGTCTGTGTGACAGTGTCACTCTTCTCCTTAAAATCTAGATCATTCGGCTAATAAACGATGAACATCCTGAAATATAATCACTCTATCCCGAATAGGTCAAACATTTAACTCACACATACATTCGTGGACATTTCATGGAATATTCTTTAATTACGTTGATTGAGACATAATAGAGTTGGGATGGGTTATGTGCGTGAGTCATGGCAGTATAACTCTCGCATGCCCTTGAAAGGAAGGAAAGAGAATTTTATCTATCACTTCAAGAACATTCGTGACTCAAACTATTTAATATGTCTAATACCAAAATACAGAAACATACGGAAGGCTCATTAATGTCAAAATGATCCGAGACATAAAAATCACATTTAGCCATATGTTACAGACTTAGAGAGAGGTGTATGGTGTTCATAGATAATGGATCAGCATGGGAGTGGTATTCTATCGGTGGTGACAAAAAATAAAGCATCCTTCATAAATCGGTCTTCCCGCATTTCACATGAACATGAATGTTCCTTGAATATCAGAATCCACGGGAGGAGGAACAGTGAAGTGTGATAATATAAGTGCACGACAAAATGACAGTTCTACAAAGTACATGACAGAGAGAGAAAGTGTGTGTGGGGTGTGTGTGTGTGCGCGTGTGGCGTGAGTGTGTTCGTGAGACAGTGAGAGAGAGAGAGAGAGAGAGGGAGAGAGAAAGAAAGAGAGAGTAAAAGGTGAAATATTGAATTAAAATAAAGATTTGATGAAACAATTCATATAATAAAGGTGGCAGAAAAAGAAAGGTTCAAACTACTTTGAAATCATGCTGGCATTAGATAATTTGTTATAAATATATTTCCTGTGTTCGACACTATATGAGGGGTGTGTGTGTGTGTGTGGTGTGGGAGGGGGTGCAGGGCGCCCTTTCCCTTCCAACAATTATTCCCCGATTTATGGATGTTACAGTAGTAGTTCTTGTAAAAGTAAAGCCTGGATATTGAACAGAAATGATCAGATGGAAGGAATGTGCTAAAATGAAGGGCTAAACACGAGGAATACATTAATGTCACATTCATTATCACCAAGCGACACCCGTAGAATTGCAAAAGATATTTCCTACAACAAAATCTAAGGGCGATTAAACAGTTCTCCCGTCTCTTTCTCTTCGTTTTGTTTCTGATTCATACATCTAACCCGTTACACCCATGTAGTAGGATCACAGCATTTAATCATTTAAGGCCGCTATGTGAAACATTCAACCGGCTGGTGCACGCCAGAATAAAGTAACATTCATTTTATATAACATACATGACCCCTATTTTACTCATATAAATGTATAATCGCAAAAGTTTACGACTCCGCCTGAAAGACATCTCGTCAGGGCACTGGTGGAATTTTATTCCTCTGTATGAAATTCAACTATGTTATTTGAGTCTGAAGGAAAGGGAAGGACCTAGGGAAGAAGATGACAAGACTTATCTCAGAACCGCCTTCGTGTGTCCTTTGCATTTCTGTCACCATTTTGTCCTCGTATAATTCCTCGTAGCAAGCTAGCAAAAAACTTCTTGCCAAAATAGGAGACCATCTCATGAGATTTAACTTGAACATTGTTGAATAAGATAATTACATGGTCATTTGTTTTATATATCAGTATGGTACACTGAGCTAGTTTAATCTACAAAGAATCAAAGGCAAAATAATCAAGCTGTTTCTAAAAAAAATCCTAAATAGATCTGCCTTTCCGGTAAAGGATTCGATACAAATAATCCACAAATATATATATATATAAATTATATTTTCAAATATTTTGAATTCATTTCTCCCTCCCTTTTAAAAAAAAAATCCTCATCCGAATCAAAGATTCATTGATTAATGAATTCATTTATTTAATTATTTAATTTTCAATTTTGTATGTATTTATTCATTTATTCCCTTACTTATTTTATTTATATATTCAGTACATTCATTTTGATTTACGACTGTACAGGTACAAGTACAAATAAAATCTAGCTCTTTCAAAATGTAGCCAATGTAAACATGCCATACGAAGTAACATGACTCATCATAGAGCAGCAGGTATCATGATGGCTTTCTCCACACTCTGTTTCAATTAGTCCTCGCAACAGGTGTGCGCGAGAGAGTTCAAGTATTCGTTTTTGTTTTCGCATAATTATGACCTCCTTCCTAAATATCCCCTCTACCCTGGGCAAAGGGGCCTCGGACCATGAAAGAGGAATGATACCTCTTTTCTGCCTCATTTTCTCTCCCTCCCTCTATGTAGTCTCTCTCTCCTTTCGTCCCTTTTATTGTATCTCTCTTTTTCGTCTACATTCTTACTTTCTCT